ACATTATTTGTCATATTTGCATACATAAGGTTGAGAAATAACAACAAAAAAGGGGGAAAATTAAAACCCATTTTGTCCCTATTCTCAAGAATCACTGATTTATTAAATTGTTCATTGTAGTGCATTGTGCAACTCGTCCCTAGATTTTCAGCTCAGCTCTTGAATACTTCAACAGCAGCTATCACAGCTGAATGTGCTTGTACACTGTTTCTTTTTGGCCCCCTATTCTTTTCACTCATCTATAAAACCTGGGTTAAGATTTAGTAGCAGGAGCAGACTTTGGTTGCCGCTTTCTTTTGATTTTTTCCCTCTTTGCTTTTCTGGCACGCCGGGCCAGAAAGGAGAGGTAGACTAAAGAAGCAGATGATAATCAAATTCACCACCACACAAAGCAGTGCTGGACCCAGAGAGTTAGCAAACGAGACAGGCATGGAGTTAGCAGTGAGCCAGGGGCGTCGCGTCACCATGTCCTGCTCTACGGCCAGCATTTGGAAGTGGGTGCCGAGGATGCCGCACACGTGGAAGAGCTGGTGGCTGTGACCTGCAGGGGGAGCAGTCGAGTCACACTTGAGTCAAAGCGTCTCATCTTCACCACAGAGCAAATGATTTACTGGCTGTTAGCGACGACCCAGCAGTGGTTGTGCATTAACGCTTTCTCACAATGTTTAACAGAAAAACGGAAAATAAAGGGAAAAAAAATATGTGAATGTTTCACAGCCAAATAAAACAGGTAGCTGTAAAGCGACATTGACTCATTAAACTTCAGGTAAATACGTTTTCACTTATGAGCTCAGGTATCCAGGGTGTCTAAAAGTAATCAATGGTCTGCTTCATGTAGCTGTGATTAATACGTGTGTAGCATCCATCTTTATCCTTTGTCAGAAATATTGTAATTTACTTAATTTTTTATGTTAGTACATTTTCTTGATGTTTCCATTTCAAACTGTATTATTTTTGTTCAACCAATTGTTGAATTGGTTGAACAAACCAATTATATGTTGATTTTTGAGATACAGTCACTATTATAAACGTGGATCATTTAAACGCTGCTTAAGTTTTTGTTCCAAACATGCAAATACTGTATTAATGTTGGTGTCTTGCATGAGTTGCACTTCATTTGTGCCTGTTTTCAAAGTGTTCTCAAGAGTGTCAAATCTAGCACGAATCCTAACTTTGCCTGTTTGATTGGCTGTGCTCATTAAGAATTTGAATCAACTTACACTACAACATATTTATCTGCAGCGATCTGACCTGAGTGATGAGAGCTTGAAAACAATGACTGCGCCTCAGAGGAGGAATCTCACCTATGTAGTCGAAGCTGCCGGGTGCCAGGCGCTCAGGTAAGCGGGTGGCAAACAGGAAGCCGGTGAGGAGAGCCAAGCCAATGTGTTTGTAGTGGAGGATGTTGGTGTCGTTGTCAGTGCAGCCATCCCCCGTGCACAGGAACACCTGGGAACATGACACAAACATGATGTCAGCGAAAAACAGGGAACTGTAAAGCATGTTGAGCGTGCTGACGTCTCTTGACGAGGCTTAAACTGAAGCACTGCTGAGATGTAAGTCATAAATACACGCCTGCCAGTCAAGCATCTAAATGAAAAGTCCAAAATAGAAAAAAATGGAAACCTTCCTCACTCCTCTTGAGGTAGAATCTTCTTTTTTTTTTCTTTAACATTTCAGTAACAGACTATTAGTCTTCTGTTGTGTAAAACCACCTGCATTTATACATTTCTTGCCCCACTAATCACAAAATGTCGAAACCTAATCAAGATTTAGAGGAGCATAGAGTATCCTACTGGGCAAGGTGAGCCGAGTGCAAAGAAGCAGGTGGATGGTGTAAAGAGGATGAAAGCAGGCGTACCCTGTAGAAGAGAGGAATGTTGTCAAACAGGCAGGGGTAGCCGAAGGCAAGGATGCGAAAGAATTTGCTGAATCTTGGATTCCCAGGTAATCTGAAAAAAAAAAAACAATATATATATATATATTTTTTTTTAAATGACTATGCAATCAAAATACAGGGACTAACAATTCTTCATGGTTAAATAGTCCTGATGAGGATTTATCAAGAGTCTGGTTGACATTATTTGTAATGTGTATCAGACAGAAATCGGGATAAGTGTCGGTTTTCTTACAGTAGGGTGATTGTTACTCAACACATTGAGCTGCTCTTTGTTTGACTTAACCATGTGAAACTACACGGCCCAGATTAGGGCTGGTCCCTGTAATCACTGCCAACCAACACCCATTGCACTGAGCAGAATGTTGCTCAATAGTTCCTCCAATTATGCAACAAGTATCTGTCGTGGCTGCCGGATGACAAAACACGACAAAAGCCTAGAAGGCGGCTGCATTTTGCTTTTCTGACACTTCTTGAGACAGAATCAGTGTAAAAATGTTGTGGAAGATGATAAAGACAAAAAAAAAAGATGTTTTTTCTTTTCCTGTTTGCAGTCTCTTTACCTTTTCACAAAGTCGCCGTTATATTGCAGGAACGGAAAGCCAAGCCTGAGTGACAGAGAGAGATGAGACGAAAGGTTAGGGATTAGTTGACGATGCCATAAAAGTAATTAACGTGTTTGTGTGTGTAAGACGATCTTCACTTGGCTCAAGAATAAAACTCAACTTTACATACTTCTACTAAAAGTAGCAACCGATCATTTCCACGCTCATACCTGGAGTAGCAGGCCAGGACGGTGCAGATGACAGTGTTGGCCGTGGCGATGGGGATGTACCACTGATGAAAGGAGCTGTTCACCCACTTGTCGGGGAAAGCGTAAAATGAATAAACGACTGCAGCCCCTGCAGCAATTGCAAAGCGATCGTTCAAAGTTATTTAAAATCAGGAAAATAGATCTTTGCCGATGAAAAATGATATTCTAACTGAATAAATGCTTCCACATCGAGAGCAAATGCAAACCGTTCTGACATTTTGCAACCATGTTCTCTAATTCAAAGCAAATATTGGTATCAAGCGAATTTCAAAAGGGTAGCTAAGTCATTTGAGAGAACACTGATAGAAGCTTTTAAACTTTCACCACTCTGTGTATAGAGAGGATGTGCTCACCCAGGCTGTAGAAACTGAGCGCCCCGTAATCAAAGAAGAAGCAGATGTGGCGCGCCCGCGGCGACATGGTGCTGAAGGTGTGAGCGCAGCTGGACGCCAACGGATAAATGCAGCAGGAGAGGAGGAAGACCATCAGAGGCCAGGTGAAGGAGTCCTGCCATCCCTGCTGCATCAGCACCACCGTCACCAGTTTCCACAGAAAGTACCTGCCCAAAAAGAAAAAAAGAACAAAAAAACGTGTTACTTTTCCGCCTGATAGAAGGAAAAATAAACTTTGGTAATAGCGAGTGTCAACTGCAGTGATTATCCACAAGACAAAAGTAGCAAGAATGATGTTTCTGCAGTGGCTGAAGAGTGAAGAATGTCATACCTGCATCAACCGCTGAAAGAACGACTTTGAACGTTTAAGAGTGAAAACTGAAAACATTTTTCATAATGTTGAGAGTTAAATAGAGTTAAATCATTAAAATAACAATAATTAAAAAAACTAAGAGAGTGGCACTGTTGGATTTCAAGTTTTGCTTTTACTCAAAAATGTTTTTATTTATTGAACATTAATTTTCTTCTTATAGTAACTCTGCTGATTCTTTTAGTTTCATAGAATGAAGAAAAGCCCCATCATCAGTGCATTTCTCTCAGAAATACACTCAGAAAGGGGCTCTGCCCTTTGCAATATAAACCTTTCACATTATGCTAGTTTAAAACAAAAGCTGTTAAAGTAATAACTGGCAGATGTACAAACTTAACGAAGATGAAGAAGATCTGAAATAAACCCGAAACACAAATATCCCAAATGAACCCTTCATGTTCTTCATTTTCATATGTTCAAACAACAGTGTCAGGAAAAGTCACATTTATTATTTTGTGTCAGCAACATGAGGAAATGCATGGAGAGGAGAAAACAGAGAGGTATATCAACATTTAGTGTCTAATATTTTGCATGCTGGACTCTAAATGTGGGTGCGAGTGCAGCATAAACAGACTTCTTCTTTCCAGACTACAGCAGCGAAGTAGGGGAACTTTAGTGCTTTCATTTAGTACTACAATATATTATTTGTTCACTTCTGTTTGCACAGGCGTTAAATAAGACTTTTATAGCAGGTGAGTCATAAATGTTCACAAGAGCTGGTCGTATTAGAAATAAAACAGCCCACAAAATTATGAACACAATCATCCAACGCTGCTCCTTCAGGAAACACAATCTCTGTATACAATTATGAGTTATTGTCCCTCAGTTAAACCAGTTTTTTTCCCTGCACCAGTCAGTTACATAACAGCTAAGAGCACTACACAAACAACCTGATCTGATTAGCTGTAGTGTGCGTCGCGTGTTGCCGTCAGTGGGTTTCCCCGTCACTGAGCAGTTAGCTAATTGTGGCAATACGCATGAAAGCCCGAAGCGCAGAGCTGCTCATTAGTGCCAGGCCTTTAGGTTCACCTCTCCCCCTTGACACAAGCACCCGTGTGTCTTCACGATATTCCAAGCAGACCCACATCTACACACACACACACACACACACACACACAGGTTTGATGAACACACGCCCCTTGTCTTTTGGACAGCGCAGCCAAAACAGGCCGGCGTCTCGTTTGGGAGGAAGTGAAGCGAGGCCACGAGGGGCACTGATCTCAGCAGCAACTTTAAGACACTCACATAAACACAAACACACACACACACACACACACACACACACACACACAGACAAGCTGAATGCGCCCTGAGGTTTGCGGCTGAGCATTTGGAAAACATCCAAGCGCTGATGTTAAGCGGAGCAGGTGGAGGAACCTGAGGGGGTCAACATGAGGCTCTGGGTTTTTAGGGGTAAAAAAAATAGTTTTGTTTTTTTTGCTAAGCAATTTCAAAATGAGGTGGTTTCCCCCTGTAAAGATTTGATCAGACTACCTATTAACCTATTAACTACTGAATGCATGTTTGTGGTTCCACGGCAGAGGAATGTCGAGGTGAAGTCCCCGTGTTTACAAGGATGAATAAAGACAAGGAGGAAAAAAAAGAAAACACACGCAAAGCATGTGTCTGGTTAATTGAAATTAAAACCCCCCCTGAATAAGGTCTCTGACCCTTCACCTCCTCTCTATCACAAAGTAGGCGTGGTTGATAAACACGTCACTGATGTAACACCTGTGGCGTTCTTTGGCTGTCTTCCCTTAATGTTGAAATAGCAGGCTTCTGTTCTGCTCACGCACATTTGTCGGGTTTCCATGTTTTCCGTTCTTCTGTTCAGAATCTCAGTGACAAATCTGGCAAGATCTGGAGTCTTTTTGGAAATATATGTATAAGTTCGACTCATACTGGAAATACTCTGTCCTACCCATTATTTATATCATAAATATTTGCTGACTGGTCGTCCCAGTCAGCAGAAAGTGTCATTTCTTTCTCCCCTTTTCCTCCTTTTATGTTTCTGTACGTGGGAATCATGCTTGGATTTGGTCATCTGCTCGCCTGAATCACGATGCCACATATGGTTCTTTTTTTAAATGTAGTTGTAAAACTGATTGATGTAACAGCTCATTTACGGCTGGGTATGTCAAGGAATCTATGAACGCTTACTGCCCTGTTCTGTTGTATTTTTTTCTCTCTCTCTTTTTTTAAGGCGACCTCTTTCTTCGTGGGTGGGCGGGCTTTTGTTGCAACTACATTTTATAATAAAACTTTAGATTGGCTTTCGGTGACAACCGTTTTATTAAAAATGTGATTTGATGCACAGGGCAAATTCTGATATTTTCTCAAGGAACAAGCACCACAGCCGTCTAAAGATTCTCTCCTCCCTGCGTCGTTGACAGGTTGTCATTGTTTTGGCGCCGTGTGCAACTTCCATTATGTCTCTTATTCTTGCCACATGAACCTAATCTACTCCTTGTTTATGAAAAAAATTCAACGGGCAAATCAGTTTAATAATGCATAAACTGTATAAACTTAGAGGGGTTTTCTCTAAGCCTGGGCCCACATGGCTGCTGTGATGGTGACTTGAAAACAAAACCTGTCAGGATGTTCAGTCTGTCTCGGGTTACACTGGTGAAAGACTGGGAAAACTACATGCATGTAGAAATCTAATCTAATCCCGTACAGGACCTGGACAGTAAACAGGGCCGAGAAGGTTTCTCCAGAAGATAAAAATGGAATCACGAGAATCTAAGAATGTTCCTGTGATTGAAGAAAAAGCTGGTATTATGTAAGAAACATCTGGAAAGCTCTTTGGCCTGCAGGTTTTACAGGATGTGTGTCATTCCCTTCCCGTGACGTGGGCACACGTTTTTTTTTTTTTGTTTGTTTTTTTTTTTTGGGTGCTTCGTGTTGTTATGCAATCGCTTTGCCTCTTTAATTCAGGTATGTGATATCCGGCCAAATCGATGTTACTGACACACAAAAAAAAATCTGCAGAATAATAGAAGCTTAACAAAAGGATGAAATCAGAGAAAGTTTCCCTGCTTCCAGGGTCAGTGTGTTATCTTTAAAAAAAAATGTATATAAATTCTGTCAGGTGCCTCGTTTTATTTTTATTTTAGCACACAGAGCAAAAAAAAAAAAAACAAAAACAAAAACAAACTAAAAATACTTAAACATTTTCAGCTTACCAGGTGGGTAGAAAGTGTGTCCAGATGTTGAGCGTCTCATTGGTCATCTGGAAGAGGCTGAGGATGCAGTCCGTGGCGGAGCTCCTGGGGTGCCGGTACCCAGAAATGATGCTGTCCTCATGGTAAACCTCCACACAGAAGGACAAAAAAAAAAACAACATTGTTTTTGGCTTGCACTTCTAAGGGAAATCTGAGAAACCTGTTTTTCTTCACTTCTGTTCTGCAGGCAAAACAAAATGCATTTCCACGCGAGACGGATAAACTATTACAACATTAATACAAATTAATCAGGAGGTACAGATGTATTTGCAATAAAGTTGAGTCGAAGTCAATTCAAAGACGTTTCTTCCGAACTGCTGGACGTTAACACGAGTGGGAAAGAAAAGCTCTGAGCAAGATAAGAACAGGAATGTTTTAAAACAGTTATTCTTTAACACATAAATCTTCTTCACTCCTAATGACTGAAAGTTCTCCTCATTCCTCCACCACTCCTCCCTCCAACTCTCAGGTAAGTCAACATAATCAGTTTTTTTCTTTTTCTTTTAGTGAACGCGCAGAGAAGATGGACTTACTTTGGGCACCTGATTGATGCTGAAGACTCGTGGAAATTTGATGAGATTGAGCATGACTGCAGGGTGCCGCCGCCGCCGTGAGAGGGGAGAGCTGAACTGAGGCCACAGCCGGGGTGTGCCTCACACTCTATGAAGGTGTGTGTTGCCATGCCATCTGCAGGGTTCCTCCCCTTCCTCTTCAAACCCGGCAGGAATATCCAGTGCAGTGAGCCACTCCTCCTCCTCCTCCTCCTCCTCTTGTCTCTGTGGAGGTGGAGGCCGAGTACGCACAACAGGTGTACGCTCACAAACAACTGTATTCCCACAAGAAGGGGGGGTGGGGGGGGATATTCACTTGATTCTCATTTACTTTTGCAGAAGAAGGAACGTTTTAAAGACTAGCTGATAACATTTTACAATTATGATACAAATGCAAGCCCTTCTTCCACATCCAAAATCCTGACATTGCAAAACAGTGGAGCTGGTATTGCAGGTTTCACCCATTTGAAAGAAACAATGCCACCGGAGTAGATTCTTTCGCCCACTTTCTGCAATATAAAAAAAAAAAAAAGCTTGAGACTGAATCTGAATGTCACCCGAGTTTTGGGCGGGTTCAGACGACTCAAGGCTGGTGAATGAAGGGTGTGAGTCAGTCTGTCAGCACAGTAAACAGAGCTCCTTTGCTGTACGGTGTGACGTCTGACCTCGGTGGAGGGATGGGCCAGTCCGATCAGACCTTCCAGAGTATCTTATCTTGTTCAAACTTTGCAGCAATGAAGACAAACAAGATGCCAGTATTAGGAAGTGAAGCGCTCTGTTGTTTGCTCCAACTGGAACTAAAACGGGAACGGTTCCCAGTACGTTACTGGTGACAGCAGCTTACCCCCAGTAATGGTCGCTCAGCTAGTCTCAGTTCAACCACAAGAGTCTCATTTCAAAGCATTAGTACAGATAAAACTCATTGGATTCTGAAACTTCTGTTGGAGATTCGATTACACTTAATAAAGGAAACTCTCAAGTTTAAAGCTTAAGAACATTCCAATCCCTGAATAATACTTTTTTCTTTTTCTTAGAACCACCCTCAATAATCCATCCTGCGGAAAATCCCAGTGAACTGATTCAGACTCTCCAGTGCAGCCAACAGTCAATGTGTGTGCGTGCGTGTGTGCGTGCGTGTGTGTGTGTGAGTGACTGAGAGCCGAGCTGGATTGGCACAGACTCAGTTTCTACTGTTGTGATCTGTGTTAATGAGTATTTCTTCCAAATTTACCCTTCAAACAATGTCAAGCACCTGAGTAATAACCTGAGAGAGGCAGGGCGTGAAAACAGCGTCTGCTGAAAGAATGTTGCTGTCGTGCCCCCGAAGCTTTGTTTTGTTTGCTATTTTGTTTTTATTTTCTAGATTAAACAAAAGTTTTAAGCAATCCTTATTTTCTTTATTATCTACTTCCAAACTCCTGTAATCTTTAAAAAGACTTTCTGAAAGTTTTGTACTGAATACTTACTCTGAATCCCTTTAAACTGCTATGTATAGCTCCAGCTGTTGCTTCAGACCATGATAGCAAGATGTGCATAATTTACTGAACCCCTAAACCCATGAATTTATAAAAAAAAAAAAAAGAAAAATCTGTTACATTTGAAACCAGAAGTTTAGATACACCAAGTAAAAAGACAGGCACATCTTTTTTTTGGTCATTGTCTGATGTAAAGCTACACAGTATGTAACTTTTGTAACCAATATGTTCTTGTTTTTTTTTTAACACATTTGTTAAAACTATCACTATGTTGTGACAGTATAATACGAGACAAATAATCTGAGAAAATCAAGTGACTCTGCCTCCTACCTGTGGTCCTACTGTCATCTGCAGAAATACAGTGATGACGAAACAACCAGTCAGAGCCAGAAAGGATTTATTTTTCATTGTTTATTCATTTATTTCATTAATTTTTTTACATTTTGTTTTAGTTGTCAGTCAAAGCCATTCTTTTTTATGTGTCACTTTTGCACGATCTTTACATCAAATCATAAATACATAAATCTGACACATCACATCTGCACCAGTCACCAGCTGCCTGATATTTGTTCTACTTCAGAAGATCTGCGTTAATCCATCACTGAAGTGGTGAGTACGTTTGAAATCATTAAACAATGAAGTGCTGGAGAATTATTCATAGCTGCTGTTTCAGGAATAAGTAACAGTGAGAATGACCAACATTTTAAGCTGCATGATTTCTTTTTTTTTTGTTGTTGTTGATTCTCAGTTAATTTTTAAAAGCTGCCTCTGTTAAATAATGAGCTATCGAGGCACAGCTTATTCTCAGGTGAGTCTGGGTTTCATAGCGTGATCTTGATATTTGTCGAAATGTGAACTAGTGCGCCCCCTTAAAACGAAACATCAAATAGGATGTTGACGTGTTTTAAAAAGAGCGAGAAGGAAAAAGAGCATTGCTGGTAAGAAAACAGAGAAGAGAGTGAAAGCTGTAAGCATTTAATGAATAAAAAAGGAATGGTCGGGGAAGCGTCTTAGGCATAGATGATGAACTTTATTCATATTTTGTGTCCTTTAGTCGGCAAGCAGTGGCTAAATCACATAGTGATCTTTGATACATTGAATAAATGGCAAAAGACGCAAAACGTCCCACATGATGTACATGTTCATCCTTTCAGTGACACAGGAAGCCCGGTATTTTTCACCAACAGTCCTTGGGCGAAACATGAGATCCACCCTGGACAAGCTGCCAGTCTGTAACAGGGCAAACAACATTCACTCCTGAGGATCATAAAAAGAAAAAACAATAATATATTGTTAATAACATAACCATAATAATAACAAACCCTGTTTAAAATACAGTTTAATTTGATATTTATGTTATTTATTAAATAAAATATATGGAGGTGGGTTGAATTCATGGTTCATGGTATTTATAAAAACGGTTATATTCTTCTGCAACACCTTTTGGAGAAAGGGCTTCCAGTGTGAAAATACTGGAAACAGCAGCTTAATCAAATCCTGTCCATTTTTTTGTGGGTTTAACACTTTTGTCACCAAACGATCTGAGGAACCTGTGTAGTTTTTCTCCTTAAAATATTGCTGGATTAGTCAGGTTATAATTTTTTTAATTGTTATTTTTTATGGTTCAGTTAGAACTGGTGTCTATTCTTCACGATGAGTCTCTCTTGTTGGGCTATATTATTAAACCTACATTATTAAACATGTCTCAAGCTGTTTTTATCCAGCTTATGATTGTCTTAAATTTGCAACCTTGCCTTTTCTCTAAATGGACAGGGAGAAAGTGCTGACCCTGAGAAAAACGATAATTTCTCAGTATCTTTTCTGTTGAGTCCTCAGTATAAGTGAAGATACACAAGATGCTAAAGGTTCATAACAACAACTCGGGTACTCACAGAACTGAGGTGGAGTCAAACCTATCAGCTTCTACCAAAAGCAGGATTGTTTTGTTCCGAGACGCTGAACTCTTGTTTTTTTTTTTTGTTTGTTTGTTTGTTTGTTTTGTTTTTTACATGCAGTATCCAGTTCCGCCACAAGATGTCAGTGTTCTCCTTGCGGAAGTTTCCCAGTCAGCAGCTGCTGGCAGGTTCCTGCAGAGCTAAAGAAACAGTTTAACAAGTTTAACATTAGGTTTGACTGAAAGACATTTAACTCACCAAATGTAGGCGACTTGTTTCCTAATTTATATTATTTGTAGTTTTTCCCCTCCTCTGTTCTGTGAACTCTCCTTTCGGTGAAAAATACACTGCATTGAAAGAAAAATAATTAGCAAACAAAAAACTAACAACCAAAAAAAAAAAAAAAAAAAAATCAGCAGATAAGCTTTTTTTTTTTTTTAATGTTAAGAGAATGTTTGCTTTAGGGAAACACTGACTCCACCTTCAAGTAGAAAACAAAGTGGTTTTCTTTAGGGAGGGAGTCTTCTAAACGTTTGTGTAACGTCAGCACAGTGTAGCTTTTCACATTAAGTATTTATTGAGGTGTTGCAGATGTTGTTTTCTGTGCAGAAGTTTTGTCTTGCAATATTTGTTCCTGCTGCACAATTGACCGCTTAGGAAGCTGCAACATCGCCATACACGCGTTTGTGTATATGGCGTGTGTGTGTGTGTGTGTGTGTGTGTGTGTGTGTGTGTGTGTGTGTGTGTGTGTGTGTGTGCCTTCCACACACAGATGGGAGAAAGCGACTTGCACTTATGATTTTATGCAGAATATTTCTGAGCGGAATCCACTTTTCAAGGCAAGAAAACGCTCTGGAATGGCGTTGGGAGGAAAATATCCGCAATGTAGCAAAGCAAACGTATTAATATCTGAAAAAGAAGAATATGTTTATTTTCTAATAAACACACATTCGAAATTAGAAATGCATAAAAAGGAAGAACAAGTCATCTTCAACATTTATAAACTATTAATGAATTGAAACAATGGAATGAAAAAGGAAATAGTGTAATTGCAAAATGCATAGAAATAAAAGTATTAATGATGAAAAAAATAAAAATAAAAAATAAAAAATCTTTTGCAAACCCTGAAACATGAGGCGCTAAATGACACTGTTTTTAATACCAGTGCTGGTGATGACCCGCCGGCTTGCATGTTGTGTGTTTGTGGGGCCGGCCAGGCTGCTGTGCTGCAGCTGCTCAAAGCCTTTGTGGCTCCCTGGTGTTTTAGTTGATGAGGTGTAGTTGGTGTCTCCAGATGAGGAGCAAGCGTGCTAGTCGCCCCCCTGATACATTATTAATAGTTGCTAGACTCCAGGCACTGCTGCTTTTCCTCCTCTGAATTTCAGCCTTTCACGGCTTCTTCTTTTTCAACTCCTGCGCTCATCTGCAACCACCTCCACCGCAGACTTGCTTTGTTTCCCGTACAGCTCTGTTTTATGTTGTCTTTTTTTCTTCTCCCTCTCCTGTTTACTCTAACCCCCGCTGCTGCTCTGTCTCCTCATTGTTCTCCTGCAGCACCATCACCATACCTGGTTTCGTGATGAGGGTGACTGGTGAAGACTTTTGCTCCTGTCTGTGCAGCAAAACATGCCAGCTGCTGCTCATAAATGAACAAAAACCCTGCTTTGGAGACTGGAACAATAAATCACTGTCTTTAATTTTAGTGCAGAGATTGTTTCGCCGTCTCTGGTGTTCATTCAGAGGGAAGAATGAGGCT